CGTCGTTAATTATCTCGCCTGCCTGCCTTCCCATCACCATAGCTTTGGGCTCGTTTACTCCTCCGCGGCGTTAGGAAGCTCAGTCTCAGGTAAAGCACAGATGTGGGAGCTCCGTCAAGGCTCGTGGAAAACGCAGCTCGGGATTTTCCAGGGAAGCAGAGACCTCCTTTCCCCTTCCTCGCCCACACGGCCAGGAACAGGAATTGGCCGTGCTCTGCTGTTCAAAACAACGAAGGGGACGAAGGAGCGATCGATCTGCCCAACGTGCGTGCAAATGCTCTGCAGAGTTGCTGACATGACTTGCACGGGAATGGGGTGGCAAGATCCGATTTAATACCACAGTCGTTATGTTCCCTTTTTATAGGAAAAAACCCGCTGGCTCAGCGTACCCTGGATGTATTTGCCCTTGGTGCTGGCATTGGAGAAGTGTTCGCAGCTATTTTTAAACAATTCCCGATTTTTTCCTACAAATGTGCTGCCCGAAGGCAGAGGGTACGGTGAGGAGCTGCTGACAGTCATCGCCGCTGGGGATTTTACAGATGCCTGTGCCGAGCAGGCGCTCGCTGCCTTCCTGAACCCGCCGTCATGCACGTTATTTTAGGGAGGATGCAGTGGTTCTCGAGACAGCCCTGTCCTCTGGGCAGCCCGAGGAACGGGCAGAGGGCTGCAGGGGCTGGGCCTCCGGCTCTCTGCCCCCCAGGGACAGCCACAAACCCATTCCCGTTCTCCACTTTGCTTCGCCGGCACAATTAACTGGTTTGCATCTCCTATAAATTCAAGTTACCCCTATTTGGGGGTGTCTGTGTTCCCTGCTCGGAAAAGAAACCAAGTGCCAGCAACTGAGATCTCTCTTCTTTACTGAAATCCCACTTGGACTTTAAACCGCCTTTCTTACCGCACAGCAGGAGCAGGGAACAATTTCCCGCTTTTTGCTGGAGTTACTTGGTGTTTTACTGGGGGAATCCCAGAATCACAGCCTGGCCGGGGCTGGCAGGGCCCTCGGGAGCTCACCCAGTGCCACCCCCCTGCCCAAGCAGGCTCACCCAGAGCAGGGGGCACAGGACAGCGTCCAGGCGGGGGTTGAAGATCTCCAGAGAAGGAGACTCCACAGCCCCCCTGGGCAGCCTGGGCCAGGGCTCGGGCACCCTCACAGTCAACAAGTTCTTCCTCCCGTTCAACTGGAACCTCTTGTGCTTCAGTTTGTGCCCATGGCCCCTTGTCCTGGC